CCTTTGACGTCCCAAAAGACGTACGACAAGCGGGGGCCTGGCTTCCGTGAGACCCTACCTGCCTGCCTCTTACTTGCCCGTCTTCGTTTTGCCTGTCCACCTGTCAGCGACCCAGGTCGTCGCTTCTGCCTGACAAAATTGCCATGCCCAAGATTCGCATCCCGAAAGCCCCCTTCCCCTCTTCCCCCTCAAACAGCCTATCCATTATCCATCAACCGTTACCCATCACACACCGCCTACCACTCAGCACTCGCCCACCGCCCCCGGTCCTACCAATTACTAGCCCAGCACAATTATTCACTTTGCAAGCATCTCGGCAATCATCAAGGCAACACAACACTACCTACACACACCCACCCACCCACCATCATCACTCTCAGCGACAAGGAGCCCCTCCCACTCAGACTCGTCACGTCGCACCCTCATTCCCGCCTACCGGCCCGCTTGTCATCCCGCGGCCGCGCCACCTCCCTTTGGATCACATTAGAGACCCCTTCCCATTTGATTACCTCGTTGAGGCCAAAGGTGTCGACTGCCGTGTCTTTCATCCTAGTCAACCAACGTTGACCCGAGCGAGGAGGAACAAGGAGACAACAATTCGCTCAGACAGAGCAAAAACTTGTGCGAGTCAAAACCCGGACACTCGATTTCCTTTCCATACGATCAGGCCATGGCGCCCGCAAGGTCCCATCAGGACGAAGGCTCGGACGCCCCGCAGTCTGGAACATTGTCCGCCTCCCCGACGGCAGCAGCCACCGTTGCTGACGACAGCACAACAAACGGTGAACGACGTGAGAATGAAACTGGAAATGCAGAGGGACAACGTGGTGCCGGTGCTGGCGCCGGTGACATTGCCCAGGTACGTGCCGATTCTCTTCTTCGCGCTGGAAACACCCTTCCACTTTTCCCTCTCTCTTTCTCTCCCTCCCTTTCTGTGCTCTTTCTCTTCCTGTCGGTTCGTCTCCGTCTCGTTCTCCATCTCTCTTACACTCGCACCTCTGTCAACCCCATTTCCTCCACGTTTTGGGCGTTGACAAGGGGCCCAGGGGAGGGGGGGCAAGAGAGGGGTTTGTGCAGGGGCCTGGCAGTTGGAACACATTGACTGACAGGCGATCTTTTGGCGCGTGTGTTCTAGGCCTACAAAGACCTGACCAGGTAAGGGTCCTATTTTCTGCCCGTCTCTGATTTCACTGTTCGAAGTCCCACGCACGCCCCCCCCCCCTTCCCTCCTCGCCAGTTGTGCAACTGGTGCCCGCGCGCTGGAGCCACTGATGGGCTCCTGATGAGTCCTCCGGCTGGCTACTGGTTGTTGGCCGCTGGCCGCTTTGTGGCTGTTGTACTACCTGCTGTACCTCGGCCAGCTTAGGTGGCCTGCTGCTGCTGGCCTGACCACCAAGCTTCACAAGCAAACAACCTGAATAGGGGGAGCTGCAGGCACCGTCCCAAGCGGCTGCACCCCCCCCCCCTTGTTTGCCACCACAGACCATACCCCCCTTCAATCCATCGCGGCTTCGTATTCTTTGGTCGATGCTTGGGAATATCGGTTTTCACGACAATGCCTGGACCGCCCATCGCCTGTCCCATCCTAAACCCTTTTTTCCGCAGCCGGCGGGGCCTAGGTCAGCTGCGTTTAGGACATGGGAAAATGCAGTTTGCCACGGGTCTGGATGGTCCCGAAATGGCGTTTGCCCATGCCAAATTACAATTTGCCCTTTTCGCTCCATGGGCCTACGAGATGGCCATTCTGTCTTCTCCATGTCGTTGGTCTAGACGTTCACACGGCCCCTCGGGCTGGATGCGACCTCGAGCGACCAGGGACATGCAAGCCCCTTTGCTTGGAGCGAGGGCGCTGGAAGGACCCCTTTGGTGATCTTCCTTGCCAACAACTCAAGTCCTTGGCTTTTTCCATCCGACCCTGTCGATCGTTGTCAGAACAGGCTTGCCAAACGATGGCCACAAACCCCCACCGCGCCATAGGTTTTGTAAATCTCGCCCTATGACTGCTTCAGTCTCGGTCCGCAGACTCGCCTTCGTCGCAACAAGAGCTCGTCGACATGGCGCAGAGCCTCGCTGCCACTTGATTCAGCATCGGCATGAGCACTGGGCCGTGTACATCCTGGACCGCTGCGCCAAGGACATTCGATGGTGCGTGCTGTCTATCCTTCAGCTTCCCAGGGATCTCGTCTCTCGGTCGCCCAGAAGATCCTAATCCTCTGGCATTTGCAGCTGTCCAGTGGCCGCTCCCCTCCCGCCGATAGCTTCACAGCACACAAGCAGCGGTGTAAGGCGGAGGCCACTTGGGTGAGGCGGACCACATGCGTGATGTGGCGCGTGCCACCAATGCACGAGGTCCCCGATGTTCTAGACCATGAATCGCATATCTGGTCCAGAACATGATCCTCTGCAATATCAGACGAAAGCCGCCACTTCCCTCCCTGCGCACCGCCCTACGCGCTGGCCATGGGGTCAGAGACGCACCCATCGCTTTCAGCGCCCTATGTTCTTATACATGAGAGCAATGTCGCGTCCTGCACGAGTGCAGAGGCGGGCCGAGTATCGTGCCTGGACCCCACGGTCTCGCCATCGATAGTCAAGCGGCTATCTCTGGAGTGTACCACTTGCGCGCGCCGCCAAGGAAATAAGGGTCCTCCCGCAGGGACTTGTAGTCTGGCTTCTGATGGCTTCAAGCCTGACTTACCCTCACATGTGTCACTCAATTCATTCAAAGATCCTGCAACTGACTAGTGCTTCTTTTCTTTTTCTCGTAGGGGTGAGCAGGCCGCCAGTGCCCTCGAAGCCAACCTTGCAAAGCTGGAGAGCAGGCTCGACGAGCTGCTGGCCGGTTTCGAGACTGACGAGCTACGAAATGCCTCCTCGGGCGGCAAGGGTCCCGCTGACAAGTAAGTTCTGGGCTAAATGTCCCCATACCGATTATCATACAGCACGGAGGGACAGCATAGAACAAGACAAGTATCGCTGTTGAGACCCGAACGCATCACTTCAGCTGTGGGGACCTGGAGTCAAGAACAGGCAGGATCGTCGACCACCAGCGGCCTGGGTCACGAGAGCCAGGGGTGCCACAGGGAATACAGGGAGCCATCTCTCTCTTCCCTTGTCATGATATGGAATATCGAGATGGTGGCGGGGAAGGAGGCCGTAGCTGCCTTATGGGTCCGAATATGCAGCTTGCTCAGTAGCCTCTCATGTTCAGGCCCGTGGCTTGTTGAGTAGTCCCCTTTTTTACACACAGCTCTAGCACTCTTATGTAAACGACGATCGGTGGGGGAGGGGTTGAGTCCCTGATCACCTGAACGCCAGACCATGCACGTTGGTGCCCCATCGCCGTCTTGTCGTTATTTCAGCTTATGTGATAGACGGGCCGAGATGGCCTTGCCGAGCTCTGTTTTTGGTCCCGGTCCCGATCCCGGTCCCTGCAGCTCCATGTTGTCTTCGTGCCGTACGAGCGAGGGCGCGAAGCGATGGATATTCGAGATTACCATGGTAGACAGGATGTGGATTCTAGAACCTGACGCATCATTTCTTTTGGACACCACCCCTATGTGTGGCGCTGCGGGCAGGCGTTTTCGCCCTTGTCTTGTCTATGACCCTGCCCCATAGCCTCGGATGAACGAGAACAAATTCAGGGTCCTCGACGACCCCGCAACACTAAGCTAACGACGACTGAGGCTGGCTCTAGTCTTGTCTGTGCATTGGTTTTGATGCTGTGGT